GGGGAATTTCGAAATTAACCGTTTGAGTGTCACGTGACTTTGCTGTTTTCTCGTCTAAAAGTGCCAAAGAGTGTTTTTTCGCTTGTCTTATTCACTCCCGAAAAATGCCAAGGAGCGCTATTGTGCTGTTTTCTTTTACTTTTACCTAAAATGTAACCGTAAAGTTCGAGCGACAGAGAAGAGGCGCAAAATGGCTCGTTGGCACTGAAACGGTTAAACTTTTTCATATATCCGTAATACGTGAAAATTCGACGAGTAATATCGAGCAGGTATAATGAACCCAGCAGAGCAGATGGTAGAGGGAATGAAAAAGATCAGTCCACGTGAATAAAGCCGGAACCGCTACAGTGGAAAAACGATATAAAGTGTACAGGAAAATTGAGAGCTATTTAAGACCTTATTAAAATTTTAGAGCTCCAGCCCTTTGCTCGAAACCTGTGGCGGCGCTAGGTCAGAATAAAGTTGGAACCGTTCACGATATATGGAAAAATGCGCAACAGCCAGATTTGGAACTCGCTCCCTCGTCCGAAAAACCAACCCAAATACTTTGTACTTTAATTTTACGTTTAATCTTCGAAGAGTCGTTACGTGCTTCCAAGAGCGACGATTTGAGCAGAAGCTTTTTCTTTGCGCGATATTCGGTGCAAGCGACGCCTAGAGCGTCGCGACGGGAATACTCATGACAGACGTAGCGCGACGTAATAGCGAACGCCTATTCTCAGTTGTGTAACCTGCCATAATAGTATTTCTCGAGCTTCTTTCTTTTTCGCTCGTCGGTCGAGAGCTTTCTTTTGTAGCCGTCGCGCGAACGAGTTTAATGGAATATTAGAAAATATTACAACCAGAGAGAAATACGATATTCTGCGAGCTTCGAAAGTGAAGCTTAATTTTACAAAATTAAACGACAAATTTTCCATCGCAGCCGATTATATCGTTTCAAAATTTTTACGAAATATTTCCAAAGACTTTTTTTTAACTCTTTCTAAAGCTTCTTTTTTTCCCAAATATCCTTTCACGTATTTACTCGTTACAATAAATCGAAGGATCGTATCGTTTGTGACGTGATTTTTCGAATCACGGTCCCAAGGCGGCAACGGTTACCGATGCAGATAACGTTCTCGATTTCTGGTTCCTTTCGGGTCGCCACCCTGCTCAGAAGCTACGCTCTCGGGTTGATTCATACAGTTATGTCAAGGCTCTCGTAAGATTTCGTTATTGTTTAGTTGAGGTCGAGGTGCTCGAATCTGCCGTGGGGAGATAGTCTCGACGTACCGAGTTGCCCGGCAGAGGAGACGACCCGACGGAGACGTCTCCGCGGACCGGCAGAAGCCCGGATGAGATACCGGCGCCCCGCTGGAGATGGGCAAAGGGCTGTAGAGCGGGCGGAGGTAGTTTTGATACGGTTAAGGGCAGAGGAGGAACCCCCTGACCCGAGTTAAGGACGTGGTGCCCACCTGTCGCCCGATGCCCTGGGGAAGCGGCCGTGGAGGATCTCCAGGAGTTACGTACCGATTCGCTAAAGAACTTAAAGGGACGACTAGAAGGAGATGGAAGAGTTATCGGTTATAAGGCTCTCGACCAATCAGAATGAT